TCTGTCATGACGATAAAAACGGCATCATTCAGTACTTACTCTGTCATAACGATAGAGACGGCATTATTCAGTACTTACTCTGTCATAACGATAAAGACGGCATCATTCAGTACTTACTCTGTCATGACGATAAATACGGCATCATTCAGTACTTACTCTGTCATAACGATAGAGACGGCATTATTCAGTACTTACTCTGTCATAACGATAAAGACGGCATCATTCAGTACTTACTCTGTCATAACGATAGAGACGGCATTATTCAGTACTTACTCTGTCATAACGATAGAGACGGCATCATTTAGTACGCTCTCCCCAAATACCAACATGTAAAGTGTTGGATGCACGTCTATAGCTGAGAATATGGCTAATGTTGCTACGGGATCGACTGCCGAGATGAGCGCCCCAAAACCGAAACTGAAAGAGAATGTGATTTAGAGCGCCCCAAAACCGAAACTGAAAGAGAATGTGATTTAGAGCGCCCCAAAACCGAAACTGAAAGAGAATGTGATTTAGAGCGCCCCAAAACCGAAACTGAAAGATAATGTGATTTAGATCGCTCCAAAACCGAAACTGAAAGAGAATGTGATTTAGAGCGCCCCAAAACCGAAACTGAAAGAGAATGTGATTTAGATTTTAGAGCGCCCAAAAACCGAAACTGAAAGAGAATGAGATTTAGAGCGCTCCAAAACCGAAAGAGAATGAGATTTAGATTAATCAACAGCGGAAATTACAGATGATAATGTTTAGTACACTACTACACTTGACCGGGCCTGCTACTATTACACTACTACACTGCTACTAGAGTTTGCAATTTTTTGAATGCTATTACCTATCGTACAGTGACTGCATGATATTGAATTGATTTCAAATCTTGAATGAAATTTACTGAATTTAGCGAAAAGTAGTTATGAAATTTGTCTGGAATTTTCATTTATATGGAATAATTATTGCTCGATATTATCTTCATCACTCCTTCCAACAATAATAGCGTACTTGGGTGTATAAAGTACGTGTATTGACGTGATTATAAAAATGATTATAAAATTATAAAGAGAGGGCTAACTTTATGATAATCAGAAAAGCAATATCATTTTGTAGCTGACCACAAAATTCAAATATGGTATAATAAGTTACACACTTACTGGCCTGCGAATTAGTTATGAGGAGGAGGAGGAGGTTATCTGCTACATATTGTGTTGCAATGAGTGTGACGTAATGAGTGTGACGTAATGAGTGTGTCGTAGTTAGTGTGACGTAATGAGTGTGACGTAATGAGTGTGACGTAATGAGTGTGTCGTAGTTAGTGTGACGTAATGAGTGTAACGTAGTTAGTGTGGCGTATGAGTGTGACGTAATGAGTGTGACGTAATGAGTGTGACGTAATGAGTGTGTCGTAGTTAGTGTGACGTAATGAGTGTGACGTAATGAGTGTGACGTAATGAGTGTGTCGTAGTTAGTGTGACGTAATGAGTGTAACGTAGTTAGTGTGGCGTATGAGTGTGACGTAATGAGTGTGACGTAGTTAGTGTGACGTAATGAGTGTGACGTAATGAGTGTGACGTAATGAGTGTGACGTAATGAGTGTGACGTAATGAGTGTGACGTAATGAGTGTGAAGTAATGAGTGTGACGTAGTTAGTGTGACGTAATGAGTGTAACGTAGTTAGTGTGACGTAATGAGTGTGACGTAATGAGTGTGACGTAATGAGTGTGACGTAATGAGTGTGAAGTCATGAGTGTGACGTAGTTAGTGTGACGTAATGAGTGTAACGTAGTTAGTGTGGCGTATGAGTGTGACGTAGTTAGTGTGACGTAATGAGTGTGACGTAATGAGTGTGACGTAATGAGTGTGACGTAATGAGTGTGACGTAATGAGTGTGTCGTAGTTAGTGTGACGTAATGAGTGTAACGTAGTTAGTGTGGCGTATGAGTGTGACGTAATGAGTGTGACGTAGTTAGTGTGACGTAATGAGTGTGACGTAATGAGTGTGACGTAATGAGTGTGACGTAATGAGTGTGACGTAATGAGTGTGACGTAATGAGTGTGAAGTAATGAGTGTGACGTAGTTAGTGTGACGTAATGAGTGTGACGTAATGAGTGTGACGTAATGAGTGTGACGTAATGAGTGTGACGTAATGAGTGTGACGTAATGAGTGTGAAGTAATGAGTGTGACGTAGTTAGTGTGACGTAATGAGTGTAACGTAGTTAGTGTGGCGTATGAGTGTGACGTAGTTAGTGTGGCGTATGAGTGTGACGTAGTTAGTGTGACGTAATGAGTGTGACGTAATGAGTGTAATAATGTGGAAGCATAATTAAAACTTTATTTTCCGGCGACGGTTAAGGAATAAATACCGCTAATACGTCATTCCGCGCATACTTCGAATTATTTAGCTCAACTAGCAGGAACCCGTCTTTTTAGCTCACAGTTACTCGTTATAACCCAGGTGTCGATAACATTACGATAGAGGATGCAGAACAACAAGCAACAAACAGGATACATTGGAGAGGTCTAATACAAGTACAAGTTAGAGTATAACCCAACTATAGTATAGTATAACTTATAGTATATAGTATAGTATAGTATATAGTATAACCCAACTAACCTTTGCTTCGCTGTCAGTGCAAAGGATATCTTTGCCTGGAAATTGTAGATTTAGTCGGCAGAATCTATCATTAGATTGTGAATAACCACAAACAGTTTATCTTCTAGAATTATTATCAAAATAAAATGTTTAATTTTGATTCTGCCTCATTATGCCCCCCAATTTTGCCTTTTTTGGGCGCCCCAAATGAGGCAAAATGAGGTTGGAACCCCCAACATTCTATTATTAGATTGTGAATAACCAAATAGTTTATCTTCAAGAATGATTGCACTGACGCACTGTACAATGTACACTTTACTATTTAAATTAATATGTGATGAAATAATTAAATTAAACAACTTTTGTTATATTACTTTACCTGTCCTAAGACATATAGCCCGGCTCCAACTGAAAATGCAGAGATAGCTGTACCAATCACTGCAAACAAAACTATTGTACCAAGATTGGAGAAGAAGTTTCCCTGACGTGTGTTATGTTATATTTAATAGTGAAACAACTAATCTAATAGTGAAACAACTAATTTAATAGTGAAACAACTAATTTAATAGTCCGGAACAACTAATCTAATAGTGAAACAACTAATCTAATAGTGGAACAAGTAATCTAATAGTGAAACAAGTAACATAATAGTGGAACAAGTAATTTAATAGTGAAACAACTAATTTAATAGTGGAACAACTAATTTAATAGTCCGGAACAACTAATCTAATAGTGAAACAACTAATCTAATAGTGGAACAAGTAATCTAATAGTGAAACAAGTAAAGTAATTTAAACGACTAATTTCCCCTAATTTATGTACGTATTACAGAGTATAAATATTTGAAAAGACGTTGGTCAGGTCAATTACAGATAAATAAGTAATTAAACTCTGTAATGATTGTAAGCACCTTGTGTAGCGAGTATCCGGACTCGAATATAATAATAACCAGGTAACCAGGTAACCAGGTAACCAGGTTACCAGGTAACTAGGATTGTAAGTACCTTGTGTAGCGAGTATCCGGACTCGAATATAATAGGGGGAAGCATAACAAGGAAGAATATAGTGGGATTGAGCTCCTCAGACTCTTTTATCCTACCAATGTTGTAGTGATTGAAAATCTGGAATAGTCCTCCAATGATTGCTCCTAAGGGGACAAGTTTGTCAAATGAAAAGTACGGATACTGCGAATATTCTTAATTAAATTGAAAACAAATTATATTTGCAAATCTACCCGTCAACCAAGTTATAGATTTTAGTAAACTGTGTAGTAAATATTATACATATTATACATATTCTACATACTATACATATCATACATATTATTATACATATTACACATACTATACATATCATACATATTATACATATTACACATATCACGTCATATTATACACATAGTATATTATAATTATTAATTGGTTAATTAAAGGATTCTGAACTGACCTAATAACACGATAGCAATGCTCTCTGGAAGATAATGGAACTTGAACTTGATGAGAAGGTAGACCATCAGAATAGCGACCAACAAAACACACAGAATAAAGAAGATCCTGAAACTGTTCTGACTCTCCTCACTGCTACCGTTATCTATAATAGCATCAGTGTCATTGCTCTTATCTTTATCAGTCTCATCAGTCTTGTTATCTGGTTCCGTCTTGTTATCCTTATCACCCGTGACCAGGACTGTGTCCGCTTCCTGCGTGTTGATGTGTTGGTTCTCTTCTTCTCCATCCCTCTGGTCCAAATCTCCGTCTCTAGAATTGCTGGCTTAGTTGTGAACACTAAATCAAACTACTTACACCATATTTATTTACTAAATCTACTTATATGATCGGCTCTGTGCTGCTGATTCGGCCCTTTTTTATGTACTAGTAATAATCATTAATCACAATGTTAAAACATGACAATTAAATTACGGTGTTTAAACTGAGTTTAAAATACAAAACTTACCCATTAATAAGAACTCCAAGGAGAAAGAAGGAAACACAAAGGAGAGTAATAAAGCGTTTCTTAACCATGATGATCAAAGTGCCCGGCTATAAGTTTATCTTTAGACACTCTACATTGTGGGAGAGTTGTTTCTTTTTACCACACTGAGATGTACCCGAGTGCCATGTCCCTAAAATGTATAGAATAACTGAATTAGCTCTAGTTATAGAAATAAAGCTAGAATCAAGAGATAAAATAGAGTTTGAATGGGTATAACAAAGTATAGTATGTATCAGAGAAAGAGAAGAGATAACTGTATCTTTGTTTCGTCATAATAACACTAATGAAACATCATACATGTGCGAGTGTGATCATAGTATGTTAATGTAATATACATGATCATATTTTGTTATGATTCAAGGAGATGTGATGTGATGACGTCACAAGATGTAGATCCTCAAACAGTAAATAACATAGTTCGATTCATGACGAATTATTCAAAAACTATAATGTTTCAAAATATGGGCGTTATATGTTTTAAAATCTATATTTGAATAGAAATTAAGTCTGCAGCACAACTAAAAGCTATTAATATCATCTAAAAGCATAATCTAAAAACGCAATCTAGGCACAATATAAAAACTACAAAAATCTGCCTCAATCAGTAGTAAGCCCTTTGATTTAAAAAAGAATAACTCGATTGTAATAATACCCCAAAAAATAAAACAGTTGGCTGCTTGCCAACTATTCAACAGAAGCGTTGAAAATATTTCGGAAGCCCTTCACAACCGGTAATGGTCTACAAAACAACAACTTCCAAGCAGCAGCTAAGTGTTCAAGAGAGGGGAAATAGGTGGGACTTGGTCTTACTCCAACTAGTTTAACCTCTAGACTTGAGGTGATGATTACTTGGATTCCGTAGCAATGAACCTCCGAAGTCTTCTTCACAAAACTGCTAAATAAGTCGTGAATCATGTGATGAATCTTGCTCTCTGTGACAGGCCATGCTTCGTTTAAACTGAACTCAACGAGAAACCTGGACCATAATGCGGAGGGAAAGTTACTACCGTCGCTTCGAGAAATGTAGTGATCAATAAGATAATGATTTTCTTCCATATCATTGACAGGTTTCCTGCTAATGTGGACAGCGGGGATACTGGAGACAAAACACTTGTTGTTCCTTATCACCAAGGTGAACTCAAGGCTGCACTGGCAGTTGTCAATTGTAACCGAGTTCACATAAGGCTGAGCGAAGTAGTTCAAACTGTTCTCGCACAGCTTCCCCAAGCGAGCAGGGGAATTAGTTATGACTGAAGCTGCAGCCTTTTCACTGCAACGTAACAGCCACTGAGCTTGCCAAGAAGGTGGGAAAGCAAGGATTGCTGGTAGTTCCTTGTTTAGATGATACCCACTAGGCCACCAACTGACATTTCCAAACGAGCTTCTCACGAAAGTGTTAAGACGAATAAGATTAGTAAAAGTGGGGTCGAAACTATTAACATTTGAGATTCCAGTCCGGTCTTCACGGAACTGTTTCCAGTGACAGATATAGGTCTCCGGCTCCTCCTCGCTGGAGACAACACCCTCACTCACTACAACACCCAATTTCTTCAGTTCTGTCTTAGCAACATCACTCAAATTCATGCTGGTTACTATGGTGAGCTCTTCAACATTTTCACTTTCAGACAAAACATCATCCTCAGGTAAATTCCAATCAGTGACCTTGTGAGTAAACGGGGGGTTCAGATTCTCATACTGGGAGGTGAATGATTTGGGGACAGGTTTAGAAATATTGGCAGGATTTTCTGCCCAGATCCTAGCCTCACGCTGCAAATCAGGTTCCCCCGTATACAGAACACGATTCTTCTCCAAAGTACAGGTTTCCCTGACCTTGATTGTCTTAACTGGCCACAGTAACGTCAGCACTTTCCCGCCATAGCAAGACCAGAAGGGAGCTAGTTTAAAGTTTGGGGTCTCACTGTGCAGCATTTTGGAGACAGTCTGAGGGGGAAGGTACCAGTTGTGAGCTTGGGTTCCCTCTGGGGTAACGGCTTGATAAGTTAGAGCATTGTACCACAGCCTGTCCAGTGCTTTGACAAGGTTCTTCCTCCGCTCATATTCTAAGAATCTCTCGCTTATTTTCTCCTCTCCGACGATTAGATTTTGCCACATAAACTCCTCGTTGTCACTCTTCTGGATACTTGCTATGATGTTGTCAGTCCCCTTCTCGAAGTACCAGGTGCATTCATCAGGCTGAACTATCCCAGCGAAACTGCCATAAATAATGGGGGGTTGCCCTTTTACCCCAAAAGTCCAGCGTTTGGTAGTGATTTTGCTGATGACATCCCCTCGTTTAGTTCCTGGAGGAACAGGAATAGTGACTGTAATCACGTGCTCCTCTGCGTCATCCTCCCACTTATAGTTGGATGTCGTTCCAAAACCGTCCTCGCCGAGCGCTGTTTGCTTCTTTCTCACAAAATCCTTGTACATCTGCTCCAGCTGATACTCTGATTTCTGATCGGTGATAGCTAACTTGAACTCTGCAAACGATATTGTTTTGTTTTTGTCTTCCAGACCTAAAGCATTGGCAATTTTTTTCCCCTCTACGTTTTTATTATTACCGTTTAAAAGAACAACTGCATTGACGAGGTCTCCTTTAGCTTCGTTGTAAGCAGCTTTAGCAGCTTCCTCAGAAGAGCCAGTCATCTGTGCTATCTCATGTATGATATCAGAATTACCACCAGGGATCACTGAGGAGTGGGATTCACTATCTCCCATCATATCAAGTAACTTGGCAGGTTGGTCAATATCATCTTCTAACGCAGCAAACGACTGAGCTCCACCATCACCAGTCCACAGGTGGGGCACTATATAAACACAACTGAATGGTTGGTGAGGTTTGAAAGCCACCACGATCCCATCTCTCACTTCAAGTCCCTTGTCGATGTCGTGGAGAGTGCGCGGCTGTAACTTCTCGTAAACCTGTCTCCACGCTTCCTCTGGGAATCCAACATGACGGAGCTGTTGTTCATGATACTGGACAAACTCCTTGTAACCCTCTTCTACTCCCATACCCATGTCAAATAGGTGCTGCAATTTTATCCACGTTAAATTGTCAGTTATTCAATATTTGAAGTGTGCTCGTTTTGAATTAAACAAATCGTGCACTGTGCTCACTTATAAATTACAATGAAACGAAAAAGCTGTCCAACTTGAATGAGAACTGATTAGTTCGAAGTCAAGAAAACAATCTGTATTACAAAACTAATCAATAAGATAACAATGAGGTTATAATAGAAGTATAAACTAATACCAAATAAAAAAGCTAGTGTGAAAGTTGATGATTCCAATAAATAATCTTACTATACCACAGCTGCAAAAAGCTGGCTTCTATATTTGAGCTTTCAGAGTCATTCCATTTCCAGCTGTTAGCGTCCAGCTTTTCTACTAACTAACCATGAAGTACTAAATCAACGGGTTGGAAACATTTACTAACCTTGTTGGCGAGATCCTCATAACCAGGTAACCAGGTAACCAGGTAACCAGGTAACCAGGTAACCAGGTAACCAGGTAACCAGGTAACCAGGTAACTAGGTAACCAGGTAACCAGGTAACCAGGTAATTAGGTTACCAGGTTACCTGGTAACCAGGTTACCAGGTAACCAGGTAACCAGGTAACCAGGTAACCAGGTAACTAGCTAACCAGGTAACCAGGTAACCAGGTTACCAGGTAACCAGGTAACTAACTAAACATAAAGCACTAAATCCACATGTTGGAAACATTTACTGTATCTATAATCTTCCTGGAATCTAAAATTTAGTCGATCCAAAGATCCTGGTCAGTATATTCCTGTAATAATTTATTGACGGCGCAAATTTTGCTTTGGTTTCGATTTCTGTACCACATAAATAAGTAAATATTTCATCAGTTCACCATCAGCAACTATCTTGACAACACAATCCGTCAAGAAATGTAAATAGTGCTGTAAGAATGTAAACCCATCAATAAATAACAGTTCTGCAATGTATGAACCACCTCGCTCTATGAGTCCCCCTCCTCCTCTGGGTGGTTCTCCACCTCCTTAAAGTAAGCTTCGTCCGACCCCACACTGCTGCTGCTGTTGTTGGCTCTGAAGCTGTGGTGAGTGTTGTTGATGACTGGTGACATAGGGAGAGCGAAGGAAGTCTGCTGCTGCTGCCTGAGGGTCCAGAACTGACCTGATGGACAGTATTGCATCATTTGGATGAGATTGGTTGTGTAGGCAGCCTGGTGGCTCTGGACCGCTTGTACGTACCTGGTAAAACGTTTCATTAGGGCGATCTAAATAAATAGGGCTTTTAAGTTGGGAATCATACCTATTTGGGCTAAAAATACACCAGTTTTAGCTTTATAAGGCATGATCACTATCTTATCCGTGCAACCCTGGTTAGTAAGACCTATACAATTTGAGAGATTGCAAAATTATAAAAATGAGATATTTCAAAAGCACTGTTCTCCATAGACATACACTGTATATAAATTACACTGTTGTCATGGTTACACTGTTCTAGACAAGAAAACAAAACCCACTTTCTCTGAGAATCCATGTAATGCTTTTTGTTTTTCTCATTATTGTTCCTGATACACCTCTGATTATTAGCCTGCAGCTTCTTGTAGCAGTCGTCTAATTGACTAGTCCACCAAGGTTTGGGAGGGGCTTGTGGGAGGGACCCTGCAGTCCCTACTGGTCCGGATGAGGCCATCATGTTTATATCGCTCTTATCTACAGAGATGATATGATTAGTGTTGACTCAGTTACTCAATATTCCTTGAAATGAACCACAATTCATTTCTTTAGAATAAGTATTGACAGAGTTACTTAATATAATATGAATCACCATATTACCGAATAACTGTTCGAACTTAATTTTGTATTTATTGTCAAAAAATATTAGATTTAAGTGACAAAGATGTTACTCCTATCATTAATCATAACAGATACTAAATGTTTATTGATTCTGTAATGGAATAAACACTACACTTTCTACAATCTACTCATATAAAGTAACCATGGTAACGCTGTATACTCGGTTTCTAGTCAACATATAAAGTGAGACCAAGAATACATGCCAAACGGCTTCTAAAACTATGATTGAAACAATGCATCATGAAAGTAAAAACACAATAACAAAATACTTGCATTCACCTATCATCAATAAGTTATCCTGTCATAATAATAAATAAAACAGTACCCCCTGTAAAAATGCAACCTAGAGCTAATAGTTAGTTAGTTATAGTTAAAATTATATTAATAAGGCTTAAACTTTCTGGCAGATTTCATTTTTGCAATTTTTTCCTTGTCCTCTTGGAATTTCTGTTTTAAAACTGCTAATGACTCTTTACGATTTTCACGCTCCTGGAATGAATATAAATGGATCATCTCTTTTTTCCGTCTGTCCATCTTTTTGTCATAATCCCTCTTTTTCTCCTGTGCAGATTCGACAGATGCTCCAAACTTTGTACTTTTTGTAACTGTAACCCAGCCCTCCTGAGTAATTTGATATATAAGCCAACTTATATTTAAAGAGAAACAACAATAGATTTGACTTATAGCTTGGTAGATCTGATCATAGAGATAGCACAGTAATTTCATTTTTTATACAAAACCCACATGAATAGATCGATAAATTTGCTAATCTGCCTCAGAATACCAAAATTAACAAAACTAACCTCATCTGGAGTCTCAGCCATTTCTTTCTCCCTCTGTAACTTCAACTTTTCCCTTTGATCAAATCCTGCCATATATTCTTCACAATCTTTTCTCAGTTCATTCTCATCAGGGTAGATAAGCTGGTGCTCAGCAGCCCACTTTCTGCAGCCCGTTAAAGGTTTTGTGTAGTCAGTTATGTGGTGTGACACTCCCTGGAGGTGGGTGGTCAGATTGTCAGTGCTACATTTGCAAACATAATAATAGTTCATGTTATTAAAAATAATTATGCACATATTATAATAATTCTTAAACAGTAAGATCTTACATAGTAAGATCATACACACATTCAAACAGAATAAACAATAATTTACGATTCTTAAACAAACCATTTTAGCAGCATTCATGAAGCTGGAAAGACCATCACCATTAAGGAACTGAACATATACACACCGGAAAGCACTTGACTTTGAGGAGTCACAGAAAAACTTGCTGGCATTTGGTATATGAAACTTTGGGATAGCTGATGGTTTTGGTTGGGATTTGACCTCGACAACTTCGCCAAATTTGGAGAAAACACTTGAGAAGAAATCATCTGATGCATATCCAGGGACACCCAACAACAGCAACAAGTTTGGATTGTCTAAATGGGGACAACAAGGGAGGTAGTGAGGAGCATAGTTTTTGTTCCACGACAGCTTTATCCACTCGTAGGATGCCATACCTGGAACGAAAAGGCAAACTGTTTATTTATAGGAGATATATTCAAGGTCAATATTGACAAATAAAAGGCAGTGGCGTAATGAAGGGCCCCGCCGACCCCGCTGTGCGGGGGGGAGGGCAATCGTTTGAATGTGGGACAATTTCGAAAAACTTAACTACGGTACTAGCAAAACTGTGCATTTTGCTCTAGAAACAAATTTTTTTAGAGATTTTACCGGTGTATCCCCTAAAATCATCTAATTTTTTTAAAGGGGGGACACCCAACCCATGTAGCTGAGACACCTCACAGCAAGTAGACCAAAGTGCCTCTTGCTTGTGAACGGTGCATCAACTACCCGCCAAAGTGGTGGGTTGGGAGTCCCCCCTGGGATCATTTCGTCCGTAAAATTTTATACAATACAAAATAGTACAGTAAAATATCTACAAAATTTGCATAAACAAATCTAGGAGACTTCAAAGCTCGTCTTCTGGGGGATGAGGTTGAAGGAAACGTCTTGCAGTTCAAGATGCTGGGCTGTTGATCTTTCTCTGATTCCCCTCAGTGCAATCAGTGTACTTCTTAACAGATCAAATCTGAATCGTGTTCTGATATGATTTTTGACTTGGCTCTTGGCTTCTTTTTTGTGGTCAGCTATAATCTCAGAGACACGACATACAAACACAGTGCAGAGCGGTCCCATACCTCCGGAGGTTGTGAAGACTAGAGGGACAAAGGATTCTTTCTCTGACTGAAGTAATCTCTCTTCATACAAATCTTTCTTTTATTTCTCATGATCTTCCCATAGATCCGACGGATCCTTGGCTATCACCTCAAACTTAACAAGAATTGCGCCCGTCGTTTCTTTTTGGTGGACGCTACATTTCCATTCCCTATAACTATAAATATAAGCTTTAATCAGCTCACATCATAATAATAATATTAAAACACATCAGTACCCTACGCGCGCCACGTACAAAATGGGCCACGTACAAAATGGGCTTATTACCTAATACTATACATTAAACATAGTATACATTAAAATACACTCGAGCCGTGAATTCATTGACCACAGGCTAGCTATACACCACATCTCCGCAAGCAATCCTCGCGCGCGCGGCTTTTTCCTTGCATGGTAGGGTTTTTTCGTTGCAGTTGGGGAAAAATTCAATTTTCATCCCCAAAACATTACTGACCTAGCCGGTTTGCTCTCCAACAAAACTCTAGATCCTACCACACTCACTGCCACAGCAAGAGCAATCCATTCAATTCTCTCAGCCAAGAAGTTTTCAGTTAACTTATTTTAATTTTTATATTTTAATAGTTTATTAAACGTAAATTGTACAGTTTTGAAGTAATTATATTTGTATATGAGATGCCCAGAGAGGCATAATTTTAAATCTTACCTTATCTTATCTAATGACTTAAATTTATTTGTGTCGCAGTTAGGATGTGTGACCCTGATGTCAAAGAATGTTCTTTCAAAGGGTGCATACAATCCGACAGCTGCAAAATCAAAATCATCTAATTTGTTCAATTTTAGGGAGGGGCACTAAAAGGGGAGGGGACGCCAACAGGGGGTGCTTTTTCGGCGGGGGTGCCAACAGGCAACGTTACATCACTGATGAAAGGGATGATGGAAACGTTTGCTTAGACACGTTCTAAAAGAGGGCAGGCTGGACTCTTCGAACAGTATACAGATAATTTCAGCAATGGTAATTGTCTAGCTATAAGGATAAACACCCTCGCAGAATGAATAAACCAATACAATGGATTAAATGCTAAAAGAATGGTACAAAATTTCAAAAGCTGAGGTAAAAATATAACCCTTTGTAAAATAAAAAATTGTCAACTAAAAATAAAATCCACAGATTCAAATCACAACAAAGAACAGTTTAGCCCCCCACCACACAAGTAAAGTATTCAGTGAAATGTGTTATGAACTGTGAAGCCTCTGACGCCATTCCTCCTGTACTACTGAATACCAGTGGCGTGAAGGTAGCCTTTTCTTTATAGAGCCTTGTCTCTAAAAACTCAACTGAACTAGCGTTTCGGTGTACGCTAAAGCTTTCAGGCACGCACCTTCCCTGCCCCGTTAGTGACCTGTCCCTTCAAAATCAAACTTAAGTAACAGTCGAGGCCAAAACATTATATACCAAATGAGCATTATATTTTCATGAATAGTTTTTTATTAAAAACTTTACTAGATATATTTTTAATGATGTCATGTGATGATGTTTGTGTCATTATATTTCGATTTCATTTCATTTCATTTTATTTTCATTCTGTAAAATATGCTAAAATTAAATTTCTTGTTTCATTGAAAATGTCTTGTTTCATTAAATTTAGAATATGAAGTTTCTTTGTATCACGTTAACGGGTGGTACTCGTAAAATATTTGTTTCAAATATTAGTCGACAGTCGACGAGTTGATTGACGATGTAAATCCGTCGAGATCGTTGCTCTGCGAAGCAGAGCAACGATTGACGATTGACGATGCAAAGCAAGAATGCTAGTTCGCGCGGCGCGTCGAAGCGGCGAAGTACCCTCCAAGTCGACGAGTCCAACTCGGCGCGCGTCTCGGTAGGTTATAAACCTACACATATCTCGTTGTTACCCCCATTATTATATATTGTGGATACAATACAGCCGCACACTTGTGCGCGGCGGGTCTACAACGTAATAACGTATGACAATAATTTCCCTAAAATAATAATAATACTATGCCATGACTATATATCATATATATATCATATATAAGCTTTGCGTATATTAAAAAATAAAAAGTATAGTATTAAAGAAAACAACGTATTTTTTTCAAAAAAACAACAAATTTTAAATATACACATATTTTCACAATTGACAATGACCCTATATTATTATTGTTTAAGTACTAATCTACGTACTTACTTACTTACTTACTTAATGTAAAAATATTGAAAGTTTAGGCACGGCACAGCAAATTTTTGGCACAGTGCCGCGCGTTAGTTACAGTAAAGTAAAGTAAAAATTATGACATAACATCATCACTAATGTTTACAAAGTATCATCACACTACATGGAAAAACACTTATTTCTCCATCAAATTTAAAAGTAATAATTTATCAAATATTAATCATGAATAAAAACAACATTACAAAATTTAATTTATTCACACTTCCCAGTGGAGTAAAGATTTATAAAACGTTTCTTTGCTACATAAGGATGAAACCACAAATAATATAAGTAAAATACAATTTTTTAAAAGTAAAATACAATTTTTATTTTCCACAGAAGAATCAATACATATTGAATTATAAATATCCGATAATTCCATTAATAATCATTAAAAGTTGCTTTGTCATTTGTAAGATCAAAAACGAAAAGCTGTACGCTG